TCAAACAAAAGTGGCACACTAAATAAATAAATAAAGAAAGAAAGTGTAAGATAAGACTGCATTATTCCCAGTAAGCTTCATTATGTTGCAAGGAGAGACAAAATTATTTTACTATTCAAAAAGAAAAAAACCATAAGATGGTAAGTGTGTAGTTTGTAATTGACTCCTTTGTCACTGAAAGTAACATAATTCCAAATGTTATATATATACATATATATCTTAGGTGTGTTCTTGCTGTGCGGTATTTCTAATTCGATGTTGTCGTTCTTTTTTAAAACACAGAAACGGTTTTGTTACCTGTTGTTGACGCTATGTTAAAACGGAGAAGGAAGTGGCGCGCCACCATCAGCGTCAGCCTGAAGAAGCCGGCAGCCGTCGGCAAAACGTAGCGTCAACAACAGGTAACAACACCGTTTCTGTGTTTTAAAAAAGAACGACAACATGGAATATACATATATATATATATATATATATATATATATATATATATATATATATGCGTGTGCGAGCGTGCATGCGTGTGTGTGTTTACTCTATACCTTATTGGGCCATTTTTGGAATCCTATAGACTTTGCATTTATCTGAGCACTGCATGTTACAAAAAATGTTCATTTCTACTGCAAATTGAGAAGGCTGCTTTCAGTTAAACTCACTCTGAGCACACAGCAGCATAATGCACCTTTATCAATAAACTATAAAATAAATCAATTCTTGTCTGTAGAGGTTGGTGGTTGTTTACACTCATATAAAAGCTCATATAAAAGTTTATATATGTAAATATGCAGTTTTTGGGCTTCAATTGAAGGGAAACCAATAAGGCTATAAAGCTGAGCTAAAATAGCTTTGCATTGATCCTATTGTGATTTAAACAAGTTTCTTAAATTGTAGGTTTGCAACATTCAATTAATATCAATCACTCCAATGTGCAGAAATTCAGGGATTCCAGTCTACCAGGAAGGAGAAAAAGAACAACTTGTTCTCCAATGTTGCTAAAAGGTCATTTTCATGATTATTTATAAAGAAAAAAGTGGGGAAAACATCCTGTGTCAGTTATATCATGATGATATTTGTATTTCCACTAAGAGTTCTAGGATATTTCTGGGATGGGGGAACATGACAGAGAAAAAAAGATGGCTTGGTCCTCTCGGTCGTGTCTACATTAAATTTGTGCAATAAAAACTTTGCTAAGACAACAGAAAATTCTGACTTCTTTCATCTGTGGCATAACTGATCAGCGTCAAAAGGCCTCTACGGACATTAATAACAATAATTAGTGGGTGTGTGATTTAAAAAGCAGCATTCAGTCATCAGCAAAAGTGTTGTTTTTTATGGTGCTCTGTAGGAGATCACAAAGAGCAATGAATTATGGAAGCTGGGAGTCTGAGAAACAGCAATTTTAAAGAATTGTAAACATGACTTCTTCTTTTCATTCCATTCTGCTTCACCAGCAGTTCTTCTACTTGTACAATTGTTGGTTGTTTGGCAATATCTACTGATACCATTTCCTACCGAATTACAACCAATCAGCATGACTTAACCAGAAGTCCCGCCCAGTACATACCCTAGTCAGAGGGCGTGTCTCAATGTCAAGGAACCTTGCCTTGATGTCTTGGTCCCGGTTGCCTAGGAGATATGTCATCAGGAACCGTCAAGGCATGCTCCAATGTTCATGTTCTACCGAGACGTCTATTCTCCGTTTGTCAGCCGTTTAGCTAACTGAGCTGTGCTGAGCTGAGTTGACTTGATCAAAAATTTCCCAGAAAACACTACAGTATTTTAAAAAGGCTGGCAGATCAGAAGCCAGCAGCTACTTCAAGGGCGAATTTCCTGTTTAAACGTAAGTAAACTAACTGTAACTATTGGGCCTATATCAGAATTTTTTTTATATCTAAAAAAACTTTCTATGGTTGGTTAATTGCTTAGTGATTGCAGCATGGACATAGTTTTGGGGAGGGACAATGGAGACATGTCCCCCCACTTTTTCTAAAGTCAAGTTTTGACCCCTGCACTTTTTACTATCCCAAAACAAAATTACGCGATTTTAAATAGATACTGGTTGAGCACTAGGATCAAGCGGAAAACAGCCGTTGGTGTTGAAGCCCGTTTCCCATTACAACATACTGTAAAGACAAACAGTGAGCTGCTCAGTTCGGGTTGCTTTCTCAAGCCAAACATCACAAAAATGTCCTCCTGAAATCGTAAATATTCCAAATAGCAGTTGAGGCACGAGGTTTGTTTTTTTATACCAGGGTGTGTTTAGTTTCTATTTGTTAAACCATGTCGAGCATGCTGTTTTCTTGTTAAGCTTAAAAGACGTTTTGCATCACTCAAGCAGAATGACTTCAGACAAACACGTGGAGATAATGTTTAAACTGCAATATTCAATTATTTAAATATTAACTTTTCTGAATGAATGGTATAGGAGACAGAGGAGAGGAAGGGTGTGAAAATCTACATGGTCTCATATGGTGACGGTTTTAGGAACACCAGTCTGATTAAATTCATTGGTTTTGTTCAAAGATTTACAAACTGAGTAATATCCAAAACTTTTGAATAAAACTAAATAAAAACACATTAAATTGTTTGAAAACTTGGTCAATATCAACAGATTCAGGTGTAAAACAAGAAAAACAAAACAAATTTTGTCAATTTGATAACATCCTGGACCTTCAGCTAATTTTTTTTCATTAGCGTTGTTGACTACTTCAAAATCAATGTATCTAAACTCCCAACACCAAAAACTGTGGGGAAACCCCCTTCAAATCATCCTAATTTGTGCTGCTTTGTCTCTGTATAGCATCATCTTCTCACTGAATACCACTTTTTACATAACATCGCTTCTCCCCTAGTCCCTGGATTTAATTGAATTACAGCATACTTTGACAGAATTTATTTTTTAAAGTTATCGGTGTTCGTGGATGTCTTTTGGCGTCCATTGGTGATATCACTCACAGTCGAAACGGTCACGATATGCTGACATTTTAGCAAAATCCTGAAAGGTTACAGATGTAGTAGAAGTTTTTTCCGGCCAAACATTTCACAGGTCACAAACAGAAAGAAAGAAAGAAGCCATCACACTTGTATCTCAGATTTTAAAAAGGTAGGCTGAAGACAGAATAGGGAGCCTAAGTCACGCCCATCTACTTCCAGACCATGGGTAATCCCATTTAAATGTGCCATGGATTTCACATATGATGTCCATGAATTTTAAAGACACGTTTTGATGCCAAGAAAGCGCTCATTTTCGAATGGCGCAAAGTTATTTTAGGTTGAGTGTGAAAGGCGTACAGAACTAGAAAGGTTTGTCTTACCGAATAGGGAGCCTAAGTCTCCTCACCTTTCCGGTCGGCTCATGGGTTCCCAGAAGAATGACAAAAAGAATGCAAGTCAGTGAGGCGAAAAGAGCTATTTTCTAATCTGCTTTGCCTTACGTCCTGAATCACACGTATGTTGTACTTCAATTTAAATAAAAAGAATTTAAGTGTGTCACGTACTTTGAGATTTATCAGCTTGTAAAAATTTTCAATTCCAATGACTACAAATCAGACGTTGGTACATCACGAACATGACATCACCACATAATCTCTGCCCTAGCGTAGCTGCTACTTACCACATGGCAAGATTTATGGAGGTTTATTTACTCTGCGATGGAGGATTCGCAGATCACTGAACTTACAGCCGTTTTCTCTGTGTTTAGTTCAATGACATCACTTTGGTGTTGCACATTTTTTAGACCTGGACATATTTTCACACAAAAACAAAAATTGCATTTGCCCCATTATTCGAAAATAAGCGCTTGCTTGGCAATTCACGGACATCATATGTAAAATCAATGGCACATAGCAAACGGAATTAGAAAATTGTGTTTTTTAGCCCCATTGACTTGTATTCATTTTATCATTCTTCTGGGGACCCATGGTTCGGAAGTAGACGGGTGAGACTTAGGCTACCTAAAGCTTGGTTTATGGTTGGCGCATTCACTTTCCGCTTGGTGATGCGGCTCGCGGATGGAACGCGCTTCACAACTTGCAGCGTTTATGGTTCATGTGGCTCGTCTCTGCGGTGAGCCAATATTCTCTCAAACTGAACGGGGCAGCATGGAGCTCTACAGCATGCATCCAACACTACACCATAGTAGAAGTAGAAATTACTGTTGTTTACAACATGGCATTCCAGTATTTTTAACTGCGTCCTCGTCTTTTCCGACAGTGTGAGCTATTTCTCTCCAAGAATTATTAACATCATGTTGATTACGATGATCTTTGAGAGCTGAATCATACAAATATCTGTATTTACGAACCTCTGCCATACTAGTTCTTGCCAGTCCGCCATGTTTTTCCACGCCCAACCGTCCGCGTGGTTAGAAAATTTCCTAGGTGCGCGGTGCGGAAAGTTTGGGCCATGTGGAGGCGTGGTGGAGGGGCGTGGTTGTTAAAATGACGCGGAGCAGTGCGGACCTCGCGGACGCGTCAAGCATAAACCAACCTTTAGGCTACCTATTGACCCCATCGAAACAGACATATAGAAGAAGAAAAGACTGGCTTAGCGAGCTTCAAATCCTTCTTCCAGGACGTCAAAAGGAGCAATAAATGTGGGGAAAACCACATTAAATCCGGCCATGTGGTAAATAGCAGCTAAACTGAGAGAGAACACATTCTCAGACGTCATATATGCGACATCTGGTTTGTAGTCTATTTACAAATTGTTACAAGCCAACAAATTTCAAATTACATAGTCTAAACTCACACGAATCTTTCTTTTCCTTTAAATTGAACCACAACATATGTGTGATTCAGAGCGTGAGGCAAAGCGGATTAGAAAATAGCTTCAATGATGACGTGTCTCCTTGTTTTTCTTTTCTTGTTTTGTTTTTTCAAGCACAACAAGTGAGGTGTGGAGATCCTTTAATATGACACCTGATGATAAAATGCCCACACCAGACAGCCACCACACTCTTATACTAAACAGTGTCATAATAAAGACGTAATACCATATTTTGTGATCTCATCATAAAATTTTTACTGAATTAATAAATATATTTTACAAATTAGGTCAGAAATTAGTTTACTGTTGTACGCTGACCCTGAGCACCTCCCTGCATATTCATACACAAATACACCCAGTAGTTTTGTTTCTCATCACAAAACAATTAAAAGGACAACTTAGAAATCTTTTCACCATAGACAGAAAGTTGGACCCTGTGCCTTTTGGATCTTAAATAAAGATGAAATGATTGAATCCACCATGTGCTGCTCCAGTACTGTACGTGCCACTTTCCATAAAGAACCGTTTATTTTACAAAAGTGCATGTCATTATGGATGCATTTAAAAAAAATAACTTTAAAATGTGCACCCCCTCTTGCTGAAACTTGTTCCAAAAATTATTACAAAAGTACAATGTGTGCACATTTCTCAACACTTCTGCAATGACATGTTTGTTGGAAAAAATGTCGCAGAACTCAATGACAAAGGTGAGAAGGGTTTGTTCTCATGTGACAAGCTTGCATGCCTTTAGCAAAAATATCTTTGACCTGAGTTCCTGGCAGCACTCAAGCAGGTTAATCCTATAATAAAAACATCTGGTATGTACAGCAATTATAGCAGCACGGTGCATTTACATCGTTGACCTTTATAAATTTCCTTCTGCAAATATCGTTGAAGGCATTTCAATTTACGACATTAAACCAGTGGGGGGGGGGGGGGGGGGGAAAGAAAATGAACAGCTATTTTATAATCATATAAAGAGCACCTGTTGTGGGTATTATTGCAAGATATGCTCCTTTTTCAGGAAATTTTGTCCTCTGGCCGTCTGAGTGCAAAACAAAAAGGGGAGGTCCAAATGTAAACATTGCAATCACAAAAGACCAGAACCACACAAAGAAAAAGTCAAATGTGCATTAGTTCCAAGTGAACTGTGGACACTTCGTCCTGCTCAAGTAGCAACAACTACTTGTTCTTGTTCATAAAATTTCCTATTCTATGGAAGAATTTCTCCAGCTTATTCTCTTGCTGCCCCCGTGCAGCCTGGGTGAGGTTATACTCAGCAGCTGCCTCAGCCTTAGAAACACTTTTGGATTTATCCTCAGACTTTGTGCGTCTCAGGTTTTTGGGCATAGAGGGTTTCTTTTCAGACGAGTGGAATTGTTCTAATCTGCTGGGCAGCCGAAAAGAGGGTTTCTTCTGTACACTGGTTTTGGTGAGCGAGTTCTGCCATGGCAATAGATGTTCTTCAGTTCTGGACTGAGATTTGGAATGTTCTGAAGAGAACCTGTCTGAAGCGGTTGTACTTCGGTGACTGTTTCTGGCACTGGAAGTTTCTGCCTCATCCTCGGCAGTAATAGTGCTGGTGCTCTCATCTGAAGTGAGACTCGGTGTTGTTTCCCTGGATTTTAAATACTCCCCTTTCCTCTCTGGTATGTCTATCGAAGACTTCGTGGAATCATTTTTTCGTAGACGCTGGGTACTGTTAGATTTGTTTGTCAAGTCTTTGTTTTTGTGAACCAGGGCTGCTGCAGAGACCGTCCTAGATGGGGGTTCCTGCCAGTTAGAATTAGAAGAGCCTTTTGTGTCTGTGTTACTGTTGACATCATAGTGGGAGATGGATCTCTGATCTTCACCCAGATTTGACCTGTGTCGTTCACTTGTTGCACTGATCTCTACTGTACTTTTATTAAGTGGTTTCCTGATGTAGGGTCCATGCGTGGGAGTTGGGGGTTCCCGTGTGGACTCAGTGTTTGAATGCGACTCTGCCAAACTGTGCCTTTTGTGCCAACTGTCTGTCAGGAGGTCAGGGGTTTTGATTATCTGTCCATGTTTACTTCTGCCCAAGCTGGCAAATGTATAAGGGTTAGAGTTTCTACAAGGCCCGAGGCTCGGAGAACCCTGAGAGTCGTCCAGAATTTGCAGACTTTGTCTCTTTACTGTAAAATCATGAGAGTTTAATCTGTTTTCAATGAATGCCGGATTCCACTGCATTGAAGAGTAGTGCAAAGGAGAGATGGGGGCTGCAGGTATGTTTGCGTGTATTTTTGGCTCTGTTTGTTCCATTATGGTGGACCTGAGAGCAAGGGAGTTCCTCATCCTTCCTTGCATGAAAGTGTTTGCTTTGTCTGAGGTTTCGTGTTGGTCTAAGTAGTCATCAGCATCTAAAGCTGGAGAAACAGAGTTTTTGAGGAAAGCACCTAAACTCCAATTCTGCCTATAAGCCATTGGCCGATCCTCTAATGCCGGTAGGTTCTGCTGCATGGAGAAGACCTGTTTGTCGTTGCCGTTGTAGGACTGACGCATGTTTTGACCTCTGTGCATATGTGAAACCTGCTGATAATTATCCACAGCATAGTTATTTTGTCCGGTTCCCATTTCTCTGTAGATGTTCCAGTTGCTTCCTTTGGGCCTGATGTTAAGTGGGACCTGCCCGTCTTGTCTCTCACCAGCATAGCTGTGCCTTTTCAACAAATCCATTGAATCAGAAGAAATCTGAGGAAACTGGAGCATCTGACGGTGCATGATGTCATTCTCAATCACCGGACCAAGCATGCCGCTCTCGTCTTTCAAATCTCTGGTGCTAAATCTCCTTTCACAGGTTTTACGGTTGACCATATCAAAGGTGTACCTCAGCTGATCCCGCCGCCCAAGTTTTGGTGCAGATTGAGAATTTGGTAACAAAGGTTGCCTGATATGAAGCCCGCTGTTGAGACATAGACCCTGCGGAGGACTCAGGTCAGCTGGAACAGTTGACTGAGCATAAAGTGTCCGAAACTCCTCATCATAAGACTTCACAAGGTGGCCCTTGATGACCTGAACCATGCTCAGATGGATCTTCTCGAAAGACCAAGAGAAGCTGTGAACATAGGACAGTACCATTATAATCCATGGTTTCGTGTGAATTTGTGAGTGAATGGGTGAATGACTGATTATAAAGGGTCTTTGGGTGTTGTAGAACCCTAAGAAGGTGCTATACAAACACAGGCTATTTACCATTTACCATTTCTCAACCTCCTATTCTTTTAGGATTATAAACGGAAGACTTGAAGCAAATCAAACTTGGGAGATTTATTTATGATTCAATTGTCTACACACAGACTGAAAAAATATCTCTGCACTGTGACAGCAAATGCATTGTTGTGTTCGAATTATATAAGAAATGCCTCAGTGCCCTCAGCCATGTCTCTTGTTGTGCTGCAGCATTACTTACCTGTATGAGCCATAAATTGCCGTGTGGCAGTCAACTACGAGAAACTTCTGCTCCATTGCTCCATGAAATGTTGCTCCGGATCGACAGAGGTACTCCTGGCCTTTCACGGTGCGCACCATCATGTTCTGTTGGAAGAGCAGTGAAAGTGTCATTGTTAAATATCACAGAACAAATAAACATCCACAATTTGCAGATGTCTCACAGAGACATGCTGACAGTTTGTTGGGTCACATCGCCCTCGGTGTTTTGTTCTTTTAATGTGCATTTAAGAAAAATATAAAGGGTGTGTTTGAAACTTGAGAATGTCTTGCCAAATAAAATGTACTCCACCCAATTTAGCAAGGAAATAGAGCTCAACATGCTAGGCTTTTACACGAGGAACCATGGGAAAACTTACTCTGAGCTGCTGTAGTTTGATTTCCTGATCTTCAGCCATTTTGACGAAACTTTTGTAATGCAGCTCATCCAGAAGCACGTAGACTGGAACTCCCCGTAAAGAGGCGTCCATGGTTTCTTTGAAAATATCCACATCGGTGAAGACGTCCATCACAATGCCGATGACCTTTAAAAGCAGAGACCAGAATCAGAACAGAGCCTTTCACTAGTTTGTGAAGTCAATGTTTACATCATGAACTTGAAATGGCACAAGGTGAACGTGACCAAAAGAAACAAGTAAAGGCCTGTTTTTACAAATGTTAACAGTGAATACAGCTAACGTCATTTTTACTGAAATAGACTGAAGGAAAAAGTAGGAAAAATAAATTTCTTTTACTAATGAGAACATTTATTGATCCCAAATCCATTTTGGCCTTTTCTGGAACATATTTTGTGTACAGAAGGACCAAGTGAAAGTCCTCTTTTCTCAGGTCTTCGTTCCCTTCTTAGAGGGGTTCTATAGAGTAGCACAAAATAAACAGCATTATCTGTGCTAAAAATGCTCACATGTGATTACAGGGAAAACAGGTGAAAAGTATACCTTTTTTTCTGAACATTTTTAGTCACTCAATTATGCAAATTGTCTTTAACAAATTGTTTTCATTGACAAATCTAAAACCTATAAACTTCTGTCTTTCTCTGGATGTGCTGATCTGGGAAACACAGGAATATTATAATTATCATTGAGATAATATTCATGATAGAAAATAATAATGTTTGACTTTTTATTCAGACATTCCCTTTTTGCATGTAGGGACACGTATGGGCTACATGCTTTACAGTGGCTGACCTGCCAGGTAAAGCGTTGAATGAGGTTATTACGGTTATTAAGAAAGTGAGTTGCACAACTAGATTTAATCTAAACCAGCCAAACAGACACTCCTTGACTACAAAGTTTGGAAAAAGGGTGTTAATTGCCTTGAGAGGTTTTTGCTACCGAGTGTGGAATAGGGGTTGTATGAACTAGTCGACTAGTCGACCTCACTGCTCTGTAGTGACATTTTATGCCTGTCATCGACTAGTCGCTGTCACGTGATAATGACAAGATGCAGTCCTTGGAAAAGACAGCAGGTGACGAGCCCCTGCGCGTCTGGATCGAGGCGGAGGCGACACGCTGTGCCAGAGCGTCGGTACTGACACCAGCCGTAAAACGGACCAAATTGTGACGTTTACCCTCTTGCAATTTAACCTTCCCCTCACCCCCATCCTAATCTTAACCAGCTTGCGCATGCAAAGCTCTGATTGTTGACGCGCTCCAGACATCTGCGTCCTGAGCACGGCCACAGTAACATTATCAAATCAGGTGTCGCCACCTCAAAAACTAATTTAACACGCAATCGTTCATGTCGGCTCATTTCCTTTTATGTTTTCTGTCTTTTATTTGCGCCTGATGCAATTCGCTGCTGTGGAGCGGGGCGCATCACCTGTTTTGTCCTCCGTGATGCACCGATCACTGATGCGGCCGGCAAGCAGCGCGCACTCTGCTGTTTTTGCGGTCGGTAGATCTTTTGGAACTGCAGTTCAAGGGTAACTCATAAGGTGAATATAAATGAACCCAGGTAGCAGTTTTTCTTTAGGATTGAGAGGAGATGCAGGAAGATAATAAACAGACAGGACAGAAAAATAGTCAAATAAAAACAAGTTAGTTTTTGTACCTGGTGGTTGCAACAAACAGACACCACTGAAGGTAATCAGAAGTGAGGAACAGAAAATGAAATAATTATTTTAATGTTTAGAGCAGCAGGAACTCCGAGAGGCTGCAGGCGCATCAGTGAGTTTGCGGCCGCTGCGCAGGGGGAGGGGGGAGATGGCTGAAGCAGAAACTACCGTTGTTAAAAGAGATGTGTTTAACTTTGAAAATGTGGGCGCAATTTTAATTGTCAAAAACTCCAGCGAACCAACTGACCCCCCCCCCCCCCCCCCCCTTCAGGTGTATGACGTCATCAATGACTAGTCGAAGTCGACGCGATTTTCATTACTTGACTGTCGACTTTAAAAAAAATTAAGTCATGCAACCCCTAGTGTGGAAAAGAAGCTCTGAGGGGAAAATGTGTGGGGTTTTATTACCTGTTTTGCATCCTGGATATACTTCCGGATCACCTCTTTTATGGTCGGGTTGTTCATTCTGGGCGGATGGAAGAGCAGATTAATATTTGTGTGAAGGTTTTCAGGCAGGATCTCTGGCCATCCCAGTTCCAAATTTGGTGTTTGCACATCGGAGTGGATGGGCCAGTACGTCCCCGAGGATGATGAGGCGTCTGATGAACCGACAACGTCTTCTGTCTGACTTTTAGGTGTCAGCCGTTTAACATTAGCAGTGATAAAGAGAAGTTCATCTTCTGAGAGAAAACTCTTCACTCGTTCGTCTTTGAGGAACTCGTCATAAGTGTCTCTGCCGCCATCCACTAGTCGATCGATGGCCAGCCGGTAGGTCTCCTTATAATGAGGCTGGATGAAATCGTCTGCAGAAGATTCTCCCCCCAGCGACGACAGCCTGGAGAACTCTGTAGCATCCATCTCCCCAAAATGTTTCTTTATGGCCTATCAAAGATAGTGAAGATCAATGAGCTGGTGTAACAGGAGGACAGCACAAACATCATGGCTTAGTGAGGCTAAATCAACCATGAAACACATTTGTTGTTTTCTCTGGGAGATTCTTGTATAAATTACTGAGCACTTCACCTCGCATAACACCTTTGTGGTTTCAAAGTGGTTTTTTTGTTGTTGTTTTTTTTCATTTGAGGTGATAATTTATAGGCACTAGAATACACCCCAGCAAGTAAAGAGTTAAAAAGACTGAATTTTAGCTTGTCCTGAAAAATTAAGTTTAGGGGAAGAAACAAAAAGCACAAAAGTACAAATGATTGCTGCACAGTCTAAATGAAAATATGTAAACAAGTCATCTACGACTTAAAGGATATCAGTCAAAGACGTTTAAACCAGAGAGAGAGAATACAGTAAGAGCTATTAGCTGCTTGAGGAAAACCATATTTTTACTTATAAAATACAGTTTTAGAAAAAATAAATAAGTGATCTACAGCTGAACTGTCTCCCACATTTGTTTTTTATTGGTGGTCAAAAATGCAAGAAAGCTCAGCTGGGTGTTGTTCAGGGACTGAAATCAGCCATTAGTTGATAAGTTATGCATGCAGAACGCTGTTTCTACGGCTTCTAATTCAACATATCTAATAGTCACGTTTTGAAGTTTTAGGTGTCAAAAATACTTTAGCACATTGCCTAAACAGACATTTTACAACATTCCAACAGTTGCTGCAGCGTCCACTCAGCTCATTTAGAGATTTGTGTTGAGGCGGTCTCGCTCTTTAGAGAGTTGTCTTGCAGGTGACCTGTTGGCAATTCCAACAGGGCTTCAAAACCACAGCTGAAGAAGTGTTAGCAAATACTCAACAATAGTGACTTACATGTTGATAGTGACCGTTGGAGAATTCCTCTTGACTGCCCCTAAAATATCTTTCCTCCATCTATAAATTCTTATCTTATATTCTGTGTTTGGAGCCGCTTCTGTGAGCCAGCTGGAAGAGACAAAGACAAGGAGGTGTCTCAACATGATAAACTGTCTGCAGTTGGAGGGTGTGTATTCCTGTTTTAACATGCAAATGGCCCGCTAGAAACTGGCTCACAGGCAGACATAAACCTGTTTGAGACATGTGGCCACTCCCCTCCCCCTCCTCCTCCTCTTCCTCCTCCAGTTCCTCTGCCTCTTTCTGGGAACAAAGTTCACTGAGAACAAACTCAAGATAGTGGTGACATAGAGGTTTACTGCAACGATAATCACACCAGACTAATCTGCCTTCGGCATGAAAACGACTCAAAAGTGCAAACATTTTATTTCAGTTCAAAAACTCATTTGTGAGAATATTTAGATTAACACACCTTTGTAGACAATTCCCGGATATTTCTCATCAAAAGCCAAATAGAACAAATCAATGCTCCCTTGTATCTCAGCTGAAATGTCCATGCAGACCCTCTGGAAGGCAGTTTGTTGGTGCTTCTGCTCACTGAAGTGTTTCTAAAGAAGAGCGTCTTTTTCCTTTTTGGACATTCTTCATCCAAACTTGTCAATAACTTGTGAGAGACTCGTTATGCAGTTAGTCTCTAAGGGGGATCTTAAAAGCCAGTGTGCCTGAGGCAATATTATTGCAAATGAAGTGAAACTAATTAAAAAGTCAGTTACATCTAAAATATCATGTATCATTAAAACAAAAATTCCCTTATTCATGCATTATTAGACACCTAATGAATAATGATTCTATTTTCTAGCCAGTTTTCACCTGTTTACTGTGAATGTTGTCTTTTTATGCTGTTGGTTCTACATCATAAACACATTTAAAACATTTCGGTTGATTTTACCATAAGTTAGAAAAGTTTCAGAGATCTCCAGAAAACTTTGCGAGTTAATGGAATAAAACCTTATCAAAACACACAAATGCGTTAGTATTCAAAGACCAGGTGTGTATTATTTATTTCTTGTTTACTATCAAATTCTGTGTGTCCTGTTCACAAAATTGGCCTTTTTATTATTTCTCACCAATGTCTGCCCTCATTTCTTAATTTTTACTATGATATTTTTAAAATAATTTTATATATTTTGTAATAATTTTTTTATTGTTTGAGGCGCCTCGTTAATTCTATCTTTAGATGCGCTATATACAAAATGTTTCTTCTTCTTCTAAGTATTATACTTAGCTTCAGATGTCACATTTTATACACGTAAACTGGTCGACGCTCCGTAGTCATGCGCCATTTTCAAATAGGCTAGTTTTTTAGCGATATACAGGCTCTGCGTGTCGTGTTTGTGTTTTGACATGACTGAAAGAAACAGCAGAGGGCAGTATGCATGCAGTCTGCCAAACCAATTGAGAAGAAGAAGAGAATATAAACACTTACTATTCGGTGAACTGAAATAACAAACAAAGCAATTGAAAGACAGACCAAACTTGTCTAAATCTCATCATGCCCAACTCTCGGCAGCCGCATATGATGAGCTCTCCACCCACCATTAGCTGGACACGAGCCTCTAAGCAGTTACGTAACTCACCTGGAGTCGCTCATTCATCTTTTCTTTGTACTAGAGCTCCCAATCCGGTCCCAACGTGTCCATCCCAACGTTCTTCTTCAACACTTCTAAAGTTCCTTCACCGAGAGCTTCCTGTATCTCTCCCAACACGGTCCGGCCCTCCTCCGTTAGCCAGTGGCTAACCAGCAGCCAGTGTTGTCCGCTCAATCTCCACTCCAACCACAAAAGTATTTTAACTCAAAATTTGTATCTTTTAGGTGAGTGTAGATACATTTTCTGCTAATCATTGGAAATTTTAATGAAAGAGGGTTTTGTGCACAAATAGCCACTTAGTCCTTAACATTTAAGGGGATATAATCCACTCTTCAATTTAACCATTAAGCACCCATGGTAATACTGGTTTCACAACTCCTTTCAAGCATCTGCAAAATTGCTTCTTAAAGAGCAACTCACCCCCTACCAGAGTCCTACTCCACTCCCACTTCCTGTTTGAAAAATGCAACAAATGCTGTGGCCTAGCAGACCGAGAGGGCGGAGCCGCTAACAAATACACACACACACAGGCTCACAATGACATTGTGGCATCATATGGTACCAACTAACGTTCTAGGGTACCTCTTAGCCAATAGCGATGGCAGATTTAAATTTAAATGCAGTGCAGAGTTTTTACCTGACAACGGCACAACACTGACAGTTTTAGGCAGAAAATAAAAATTCCATGCTGTAGTTCTTTTTTAAAACACAGAGCAGTTTTGTTTACCTGTTTTCCCGCTACGTTTCGTCAGCCTGAGGAAGTTTGCAGCCGCAAACGAAACATAGCGGGAAAACAGGTAAACAAAACTGCTCTGTGTTTTAAAAAAGAACTACAGCATGGAATTAGAGATACGACACAGCAGGAACACACCTAAGAAAATAAAAATTTTAACTAAAATGCACTAAAGTGCAAAACTATTGACTACACGTGTCTGCAGCACAATTAGACACGCATTTATATAGTTTATCAGAAAAAAATTGATTTGGGGGTGACTTACTCTTTACGTCAAATTTTCAACTTTGAAAACCCAAAGTCACATTCTATCCATAAATACACTCACCTAAAGGATTATTAGGAACAGCTGTTCAACTTCTTGTTAACGCAGTTATCTAATCAACCAATCACATGACAGTTGCTTCAATGCATTTAGGGGTGTGGGCTTGGTCAAGACAATCTCCTGAACTCCAAACTGAATGTCAGAATGGGAAAGAAAGGTGATTTAAGCTATTTTGAGCACGGCATGGTTGTTGGTGCCAGACGGGCCGGTCTGAGTATTTCACAATCTGCTCAGTTACTGGGATTTTCAGGCACAACCATTTCTAGGGGTTAACAAGAATGGTGTGAAAAGGGTAAAACATCCAGTATGCAGCAGCCCTGTGGGCGAAAATACCTTGTCCCCTGTCAGAGAAGAATGGGCCGACTGATTCAAGCTGATAGAAGAGCAACTTTGACTGAAATAACCACTCGTTACAACTAAGGAGTGCAGCTAAGCATTTGTGAAGCTAAAACACACACAACCTTGAGGCGGATGGGCTACAACAGCAGAAAACCCCACCGGGTACCACTCATCTCCACTACAAATGGGAAAAAGAGAATACAATTTGCACAAGTTCATCAAAATTGGACAGTTGAAGACAGGAAAAATGTTGCCAGGTCTGATGAGTCTCGACTTCTGAGACATTCAAATGGTAGAGTCAGAATTTGGTGTAAACAGAATGAGAACATGGATCCATCATGCCTTGTTACCACTGTGCAGGCTGGTGGTGGTGGTGGTGTAATGGTGTGGTGGATGTTTTCTTGGCACACTTTAGGCCCCTTAGTGCCAATTGGGCATGGTTTAAATGCCACGGGCTACCTGAGCATTGTTTCTGACCATGTCTATCCCTTCATGACCACCATATACCCATCCTCTGATGACTACTTCCAGCAGGATAATGCACCATGTTCAAATTGGTTTCTTGAAGATGACGATGAGTTCACTGTACTACAACGGCCCCCACAGTCACCAGATCTCAACCCGATAGAGCATCTTTGGGATGTGGTGGAACAGAAGCCTCGAGCCCTGGATGTGCATCCCACACATCTCCTTCAACTGCAAGATGCTGTCCTGTCAACATGGGCCAACATTTCTAAAGGATGCGTTCAGCACCTTGTTGAACCAATGCCACGTAGAATTAAGGCAGTTCTGAAGGTGAAAGGGGGTCAAACACCGTATTAGTGTGGTGCTCCTAATAATCCTTTAGGTGAGTGTAAATTTAAATTTATTTTACTTGTTTGTTTTATTTGATGTTTTTCTATATTGGATGTATTTATTCTTATCTGTTTCCTAGCCTTTTGAATTGGAAAACAGACTGGAATAAATACATCAAAATGTAGAAAAAAAATTAATAAAATAAAGAAGTAGAATAATTGTCGATATATGTATGGATAGAATGTATCTCAGGGTTGTAAATATTTGACTCAAGAAGCAATTTTGCAAATGTTTGAAATTGACACCACTGTCACCACGTGACCACGGTTTGGGTTCTAAAGGGTTAAAATTGATTAGTGGCACAAGGACTGGTCATAGTTTGGAGCAAACTAAATTGTAAACACAAAATAATTTGAGCAAATAACAGAAATAAACAACAAAAAAATAAATATAAACATGGCCTATTGCTTTTCCTGTAGAGCAGGCTGCTTCATTAAAAAGCTGTTGAAGAATGTGTTCGGCGTTCACGAGGCAGGAAACCCTCCAGCTTATGTCATCAGCCTCAGGTATGCAGGTTTGCATATCAACTCTCCAGAGGCTCCACATAACATTTGGTTAAATGACACCACACTCTCACTTTCTTTTATTGACTTTGAACCTTTGAATTGAATCCCCTAAAAGCACAGCTCACACAAGGTTTAGGCAGAGACTCCTGCAGTCTGTAGCTTTGGGTGAGGTTTAATGACATTTTGGGGGAAACATGAAAGGTTTCTTGCTTGGAGTCACTAAAAAGTTGAAAAAGGTACATCTGATATCCACGCAGAGATGGAAAACCTCTGCAAGTGGGTGATTAGCACAGGAAACACCAGGAGTGAAAACATTTCTTTCAAACCTGTTTGAATAATTTAGGTTCTTGCTTGAAATAATCTTCCTCTTTTTGATGACATGATTTTTGCATTCATATAAATGTTTTCACACAGTTTTACCTTTTTAAGCTTTGTGGGATAAGCCTTTTTATTGCGGTTGTAGCTAAATAAAACGTTCAGTTGCGTGATCAGTAACAATCATTTGTTCAGCAGCCTGCTGAAACACCTCTGGTGCTCCGCCAGACAAAAGCTGGGAAGAACAAGATATCTGCACCTTTGCTCGGTTATGTCCTAAATCTGTGTGTGTGTGCGTGTGCGTGTGCGTGTGTGTGTGTGTGTGTGTGTGTGTGTGTGTGTGTGTGTGTGTGTGTGTGTGCAGATGAAGTCTCAGGGACTTTTTTTTTCTCTCCTGGGGCAAACTCCCTGTGAGTCACTTCCAGTGACACCCAACCCGTGTTGTCATCAGATCTTCCGGCTATTCTCAGCTCCTGCCGACAAGTCTTAACAAGTCATGTGAACTGAAGTGGTTTTCATCGGTTAACCTGCTGCTCTGAAA